TAAAACAAAATAACTATATTACTGCATAGATATCTAAATTGTACAAATATATTACAGAAGTTATAATAATAATAATAATAATAATAATAATAATTTGACATGAAAAATTGACACTTATAGTCATATTTTTAATACATCATGATAACTGCTCAACATTTTAAATCCACTTTTTACTTATAACTTATATTTTTAAAATTAAAATAAATATAAAATATTAGAGGATAAATAATAATTTTAAAAAATTTGCAATTAACAAAAGAGTTAAAAAAAAACCAACACTCATAGTTATATACTTTAGACGGTTTCTTTTTTGAAAAAGTTGCATATATTTATTTTTATTTTATTTTTAAAATTATATAAGCTATATTTATTTTAAAGGTTAAAATGGGAATAAAAAAATATAAGAGCAAAATTCCCTATTTCTTTTATAGATAGTTATAGATTATGCACTACGCCAGAAATGACTTTTAGCAGCGCAACAAAAGACAGCGCTTTCTAAAAAAGCGCTGCTAAAGGGTTATGAAAAAAAAAACAAAAAAATAGCATACCTAAGACAGCGCTTGTTAAAAAAGCGCTGCTAAAGGGGGGGAGGGTCAAAGAAAGCGCTTTAAAAAAGCGCTGCTAAAGGGGGGGTCTACGAAAGCACTTTTAAAAAAGCGCTGCTAAAGGGGGTCATAAGGCAGACCTATAGCAGCGCTTTTAAAAGCGCTGCTAAATGCCAAAAAAAACGCTGCTAAAGGGGGTCCTAAGACATACCTATAGCAGCGCTTCTAAAAGCGCTGCTAAATGCCAAAAAAAGCGCTGCTAAAGGGGGTCTTAAGGCAGACCTATAGCAGCGCTTTTAAAAGCCCTGCTAAATGCCAAAAAAAGCGCTGCTATAGGTTTAAGTAGCATAAATTTAAAAAATTCCAATATTTTCACAGAATCAGAACAGTCTTCTTCTTTCTTATTTCCACTCGCGAACGTTGCCCTATTCAGAATTAGAACAGTCACCGTCGACGCATTCCGTCCGCGCCTCCGTCCGACAGCCTCCGTCCGTCGTCTTTCCTCCGGTCATTCCGTCGTCACCTCATTCTGCCGCCGTCCGTCCATTGTTACGGTATTTGAAGTTTTTCATTTTGCATTTTTCTGGATTAATGTCTTAGTATTTCATTTTTTTGGATTATATGATGTTAGTGTTACTTCTTTTCTGAGTTTTTGACTTGTTTTTGTTGATACCGTTGATGAAAATTACTCGTTTGATATTGGCTTGAGTTTTGTATATAAGGTGTTTGTTGAAATGCCACAATGAATTTACTTATGTTAACTTTCATTATATCTAGCCGTATACAAGGTGTTTGCTGAAATGCCACATCTTATATGAGTTCTTTTTACTAATAATTTTTATAAGGGAAATACTGCACATATATTCAATGATTTTTTAGATTATGTTGCTTTAGAAACTTCACACTATTTGTGATTTAGATGAAAACTTTAAGTTTCTGTTAATCTTGAAATTTATTTATTTTTCTTAATCCTTATTTTTCTATGAAATAGTCTAAATTCACAAATAATCCTTATTTATTTATTAAATTTTAAAACATAAATATATAGATCCGACAACTTTTTTGAAATAAAGTTTGTTTGGCGAGTTACACAACATTTAATGAATTCACGTGTCTTCATGAATGTGGATATAGTTTTAGAATGTATAGATCATTCATACAGCTTTATGTTTGTATATGTATAATGATGTTTGATGTTGCAGCATTACATTGTATCAAAATCTATATTTTGAGGGACTATATCTTTCGTCTTCTTCAATTGCAAGTGCCATGATCAATCTTATTCCCGGAGTTACATTTTTAATAGCAGCCTTTGTAGAGTAATTAATAACTAACTTAACTTATATTTGTTAGTCAATCAAAATTCAAACCAATAATAATATGTTTCTTTGAATATTTTACAGAATGGAAAAAGTAAATATTAGAAGTTTGAGAACTATAGCCAAAATTGTGGGGACTTTGATATGTATTTGTGGAGTTTTGTCTATAGTATTGTGGAAGGGTCCAAAACTATTAAATGCAACGATCATACCTTCAAAATCAATCATGGCTGGAAGTGATACTGATAAGAATTGGTTGCTAGGATGTGTTTTTCTTTTGGCAAGTAGTGTTGCCTGGTCATTTTGGCTAATTTTGCAGGTACTTAATTTCAGTACAATCAAAGTCTTAAATAACGGTCTATGCTTACGCGATTTTAGTCGGCACAGGTGTTAGTGGTTGTTGCGGATGTGAATTAACCATAATTAATTCCTTATCATAAAAACCGTCAATAACAGAATCAATAACAAAATCAATATCGGTACCATCAGAGACTGTTTTTTAAAATCTTAATAATTAATACTTATGATATAACTATTATTCTATAAACATATAACATTTTACCCTTATATATTTTTCAGGTTCCAGTTTACAAAAGTCATCCTAATTATTTATCATTGTCAGCTTGGATGTGTTTCATTTCAACATTACAATCAGCCGTAGTGACAGTATTCTTGGAGTCAGACCTTAATGCATGGAAGATTAATTCTCTACTTCTATTTGGTTCCACTTTATATGCGGTAATTTTTCATGATGATACACACCAATATTTATACATCATAATCCTAGATAATTTGTAATAAATATATTTTGTAGGGAATTATGGGATCAACGGTTATGTTTTGTCTTCAAGCATGGTGCATAACACAGAGAGGACCTCTTTTCTCTGCATTGTTTAGCCCTCTTGTGACAGTGATTGTGACTGTATTGGCTGCTTTGGTACTTCATGAGGAAATATATATTGGAAGGTAATGATAATGAAGATTAATTCTATAAATACATATTTAATTATTAATCTGATTAACAGAAACTTCAAATAATGATAAGAACTGAAAATTTCATAGAAATCTAGTACTTAATGATCTACATGGGTCTGTTCAAGTGTATTGTTACTTATCTATTATTGTTTTTGCTTGTGCTGTTGTTAAGATGAATCATGTTCTATTGAATTAAGCTTGGAAGACATTCAATTGAATAATGATACAAAGCTTGAAGAAAACCGTGTATTTGTGGCTGATAGTGAACTCCATGCAGTCTCATACAGAATTCAATAGTCAAGTAAAGATTGTTAAGTTTATTTCTTCCTAATGTGACATCTGATATTGTATCTATTTGTAAAGTTATCAGATTTGTAATTATATGTGAATTGATTGTATATGTGATTTTGTTCTGAGGATCGGACTGTGTTGTAATATATTTAAGCAGGTTTATGTGTATAATATTTCAAAGTGATGAATTATAATGTATACTTTAGTTATTGTGTATAATATTGCAAATTGATGAATACACAAAAATAAGGCCAAAATAATTGTTATATATAAGGCCAAACTGTTGAACTAAAGACCTGAATTATAAGCAGGGAATGTATTTGTTATAAGCAGGTTTATTGAAAAATATATAAAAAATGTGATTATTTTTATAAAAAAAAAATCAAAATCGTGAAGAATAGACAGCGCTTTTAAAAAAAGCGCTGCTAAAGGGGCAAAAAGAGGCATAAAAAAGCGCTGCTATAGGTTGGAAAATGAGGGTCTAAGAAAGCGCTGCTAAAGGGGGGTCTAAGACAGCGCTTTAAAAAAGCGCTGCTAAAGGGGGGTCTAAGAAAGCGCTTTTAAAAAGCGCTGCTAAAGGGGGGAGATGAAGGGGGATTAGGCAGCGGTTATGAAAGCGCTGCTATAGGGTGAAAAAAGCGCTGCTAAAGGCCAAAAAAAAAAGCGCTGCTAAAGGCAAAAAAAAAACGCTGTCTTTAGCTTTAGCAGCGCCACTTTAGGCAGCGCTTTTAAGCGCTGCTAAAGGTCTTTTTTGGCATTGTGATGATTATTTTAATTAAAATTATGGATATTTTAATTTGTGGTATGTGCATTTAAATATAGTTTTTAATGAGAAATTAAATTTTTTTTTCTTCAAATAACTAATTAATTTCACTTGTGTACAATATTCAAATATAAAATGGGGGGAGTAGTTAATTTTTATTTGTATAACTTCTACAACTTCTATTTTTATTGCACACATATAAATATAAATGCTATATTTTTATTTAATATTAATTTTACATGGAAGTTATGTGGAAAGTTATTAGTAGGGAGTTATATGAAAGATGATAGTAGTAGTTCAATAAATTTATTGTGTAAGTTATATATTTTAAAATAAGGGTAAATTTGGTATAAAAAAAAGCTACACCAAAAACCAAGTATTGCCTTTATATATGTTATAGATAATATATTATACTCTCTCCGACTTAAAATGACTATCGTTTAAAAAAAATTGTTTTAAAATAAATATCATATTCACTACTCAATAATAAAATGGTTGCTATTTTTTCAATATCTTTTAGCTTTTTTATTATGTAGAATTTAATAACTATTTTTTCAAATATATCTTTTAGCTATTTTATTATGTAGAATTTAATAAAAGTTAAATGTCTTAGGACAATATTATTACATTTCTTAATGCTTAATTTGTGTGCAAAAATTTTAAACAACAATTATTTTAAAATCGTACGAGTACATCGAAAAATTCATCTCATTCTTATACTATAGACTATAAAGCAAAAACACCCTAAACATGACTCCGACATTAATACAACACAACGATATTACTAATAACTTAAAAATATAAATAAATTAAATGTAATGAAACATGTTGGTTTACTTATCTGATACAATTACAAACACGTTTTTCGATAGCGGTACCAATGTTGGTAGATAACTTACATGATCATAGGCATAACATTCAACATTTTAAAGATAGACAATTTAAGTATACTTTATAAAACGACGAGTACAACGTTTATTTATTTCAACTAAATACATTTAAAACACTCGGGACTTTCAAGAATCACCGTCCCAATTTTCACTAGGAGATGAACGAATGCCAAGAAATCAACAACTGGACGTGTTTCAATATCAGCATCGCTAAATATCAAAACCAGTCTTCATAACCAGACCAATTTTCACTTTCGATACCCCATCCAGAATCATAATTAGAAGAGAAGCAGTGTAGTGATGGAGCTCTAAAATCCATAACATTTTCTCTACACCTTTTCTCCAAGCTTGAAATATTATAGAAACAACAACATTCTTTCAAGTCAAGAACCTCAAGAAGGGAGCATCCATCAAGAATGGCAAGAACACCATCCTCAGAAGGCATATTTCCACAAATTTTAAGATGATGTAATCCAGGCATTGTTTTCGCAATAGCAAATGACACATCATTCTCTCTGTCGTTCACTACGATCAACCTGCATTTCAATGTTTTCAAAAACGGGCAATACCGGCCAATAATTTCAAAGGTATCCTTTGACAGTTGATTCTGATATGAAATGTCAAGACTCTCTAACCGCGACATCTTCTTAACAGATTCACTAAATCCTTTATCTGAGAGCCCTGCACACATTGCAAGCCGCATGTGTCGAAGGTGACCAGCGCTGTGAATGGCAGAAAACATCTTAAAATGGTGAGAGTTAAAACCCAAGGAAAATATTATGAAATAAATTATTACCAGTTATCCGCTATGTATGCAAGAAGATCATCCGTTGCTAAATGCTCAATATCAATGTCTTCTACATGACCACAGCTTCGCTCAATTGCATTGCGACAAATCTTCACAAACTTATCCTTATTACGCATGGAATGCTTATAACCATACTTGGTAATGTTAATGGTTCGCCACATGTGGGGATCCTTGCAGATGCTCCACCAACTAGGGCAGACTTGACATGCACTGGTCAATATTTCAATCGTCCCTAGCCTCTGGAGGATGTTTGCTGTTACATCGCTTGGAAGTTCAAGCCAGTTTGGGCCACTTGTTATTTTCATTTTTTCATGGGTTACAGGAAGAGAATATGTCATACCGCAAGTGAAGTTAAGATTGTAGGATTATTGTAATCTTTTGTAAATGAAAAAACTAGTTAAAAACTTTGAAAGTGAAATTTAGTTTCCAAAAGACATTGAAAAATGATGACAATTATTATTATTATTCTGTGTTGAAAATAGTAGAAGTGGCTTGTTTCCAATATTAAAAGGAAATGTGGAGTAGCGTATTTTTGAAATTAAGAAATTTCTTAAGTAGTATTAACTTGCTGGAAAACACGCGAGGTCGGTCACATGAATACCCTTGACTAGTGGCAGCGGAAGAACATTTTCATTAAAATGAAAAGAGAAAATAAGAAAGAAAACTCATTTAAAATAAATAAGTATCTCAAAATAAATTATTTATTTTAATTTTTAATACATATTTTTTAATTATATTCTTAAATTAATACTTTCTTCGTTTCACACTACAAGAAAAATTGCATTTAGTTAGGGGTTTAATCCCTCACCAATGCAAAAAAAAACATCACAAAACACAAATTTGCAAGGGGATATGACTCATAGCTAATCAGGGCATCGCAAATCAATAGCTAGAGGATAAACTCCTCGCAAAATTGGCTAGAGAGTTAACCCCTCGCAAATTGTAACTCATAAAATTCAGCCTACTATACTGCAGGTATAGGCGCAGACTAGTGACACAGATATGTCAGATAACTTGTTAGGGGATAAACCCCTAGCTAAAGCATCTGTGTTTTGTGAGAGGTAAAACCCCTAGCTAACTGTGTCAAACATTTGTGAGAAATAAAATCTCTAATAAATTGATTTATGTTTTGGACTTTATAATGGGTTTAACACCTAGCCAATATATATAATATTATAATTAAAAAAATTATAATTATATTATTATAATTATAATAATACAAATTTATAGACTATAATACATATAAACAATATCATATAACTAACAAAATATATTCTTTACTAAATTTAATTATTATTTTAATTGAAGATTTAATTTTTTCTAAAAAGTTTTTTTATATTTTTTCATACATATTTAATATTTTCAAATAAATATATAATTTTTTTCTTACAAATTTACATACTTTGTAGCATACTTTAACTTACAAATTATTCTAAAGAGTATTACTATAAAAAGGTGTATACTAAAATATATTAATAATTTAAAATATATTACAAATTTTTTCTATAAATATATTACTAAAATATATTAAAATTTTAAAAGGTATATACTATAAAAATAAAAAGTGTAAATAAAAATATAACAAAACTATATTACAAATTATATACTTTTTATAAAGTGCATACTATCTAAATATATTAAAATTATATACTTTTATGAGTTAACTCATATTTTTTAAATAAAAAGTGTATATTAATATATAATCTATTCTTTCATAAAAATATATAATATGTTTTCTAAAACAAATTTTATAAAAATTCTTTTATAAAAATATTTAATATATATTTAATATTTTCAAAATAAATTTATAGTGTACTTTTTTTTTTTTACAAATTTACATTTTTTTCTAAATATATGTTAAATATAATCTGTTTTATATAAGATTTAATTCATATTTTCTATAAATATATTACATATATTCTAAATAATATTAAAATATTACCTATTTTTTAAACAATATTTTTTATAAATATATTACTAAAATATATAAACAATATCTTTTTATATTTATACACTAAATAATATAAATAACATATACATATATTCATATACTAAATAATATAAACAACATATACATATTTATATACTAAATAATATAAACAATAAAAACATATCATTATTCTTTTTTCCAATTTTATTCTAACAAATATTTTACAAACATTATAATACAAATCCTAAACACTTAAGAAAAAAATAGTATTTTCAAAAAATATATTACTAAAAAAGTATATATAAATTTCAAAATCAAATACACCAAATACAACATATATCAATATCAAATACACCTAAAATTTTGAAAAAGAAACATATATGTGTACCTTTTGATGTCCACTTAAATTTGAAGCTCACTTTTGATAAAATTTAACACCTTTATATGAATAAATATATACATGCAAACACAATTAAAAATAATAATAGTAGTAAAACTAAATTATAAATTCAAAGTAGTTACAGTAAAACAATAATATTTACCTAATTTTAACTTGGTGGAATATTTGAAAGACGAATAAATGGATGTTTGATGGAAGTCGTTTTAATGAAAAATGAGAGAAGAAGAAGGGTGGAAGAAAAATGAGAGAGAGCAGAAAAATGAGAGAGATAATGTATTTAGGAAAGAAGAATAAACTTAAATTTATGGTATACAACTAGTGAGGGGCTACCCCACGCAGTCAAAGAGGATAACATTTGTCAGGGGTGCCCCTAACTAATGTTGATGTGTTGGAGACACATTTCCTGTCTTGTTTCAGATTTTGGCAGCAGAAATAAATATTTTTTATGACAGATTTGACTTTACCATTAGAGCTGATGAGGAGTAGCCCATAGCTAAGTGCAAAGATAAAATTGGTGAGGGGTTATTCCCTTGCAAATGACAACAATTGCCAGCCCATTTTGGCGTTCTTTCATTTTTGCGAGGGCTAACCCCTAATAACTTTCAATTTCAAAATTCAAAATAAAATTCCTCCATATTTGCGAGGGGTCGCCCCGTGTTTTTTATTTAAATTTTTGTGTGTATATATTTTGTGCATTGTGAGGGGTTTACCCCAAACAACTTTGCAAATGACAACCATTGCCAGCCCATTTTGGCGTTCTTTCATTTTTGCGAGGGCTGACCCCTAACAATTTCCAATTTCAAAATTCAAAATAAAATTCCTTCATATTTGCGAGGGGTCACCCCGTGTTTTTTATTTAAATCTTTGTGTGTGTATATTTTGTGCATTGTGAGGGGTTTAACCCCAAACAACTTTGTTTTTTTAGTGAGGGGGTTTACCCCTAGCAAATTCCCCTAGCTAATAACAATTTTGTTTGTAGTGTCAAAATGATTGTCGTTTAAGGTTTTTGCACACAAATTAAGGAATGCAATAATATTGACATAAGATATCGCACTTTTACTAAACTAGTCTTATTAAGGTATTGGAAATAATCTACATAGTAATAATTATATGACACAATTGGAAAAATAGCAATTATTACTACATTAAAAATTAAGAACGACAGTCATTTTGAAACAAATTTTTTTCCTAAAACGACAGTCATTTTAAAACGGATGGAGTGCTACTTCACCATTCCCTATACTTGAGTATTTTAATGAGTAACCCAATATCATTCTCTCTTTCATTTATTCTTTTTTCTTAATATATGTGAAATAGTCAACTTGATCCCTCATTGTGAGGTAGATTGAGTAATTGTTATTCTCTTTGTCTTAAAATAAAAGTCTTTTAAGATTACTATATAGAGATTAAAAAAATTAATGAGTAAACGAATAAATATAACAATTTCACAATTTCGTCCTTAGTTGTTATTAGTTACACATATATCATAAATTAAGAGTGATATTTAATGTTTAAAAGTAGTGCAAACAATATTAATTAGGAGTAAAATTTGTACAAATGAATTAATAGTGTATTCCTTTTATCCCAAATTATAAGTTAATTTGTCAAAAATATTTGTCTCAAATTATAAGTCATTTTACAATTCCAATGCAACATTAATGACTTTTTTCCTAATATATCCTCTATTTCTTCTTACAATTCTTTAAATTTTTCGTTCATCTATAACAAATGAAAGATAATATTATAAAAGCATGCATAATTTGTCTTTCTCATATAACAATTATTATATTTCTTAGTTTTCGTAAAAGGTATAAAACGTCTTATAATTTAGGACTGGGAGAATATTAAAAAAAAATTAGAACGACACTTACTTTTGGAATAAATTTTTTAGATTAAAAAAATATTTATTTTAAGACAGAGTGAGTATAACATATGCTTAGCTATATTTATAGGCGCGTTGGAGATTAGTATTTGTTAGAGAAATATCTTTTTCTAACTAACTACCCTTATAATTAATTAATCGATTAACCTTATAACTAACAAACATAATAATTAAGATATATTCCTTGTGTTCCATAATGAGTGACTAATTTGAAATAAAAGAGTGTTCCAAAATGAATTACTCATTTCAATTTTTAATGCTTATTTTTCAATTTTATTCTTTAATTAATATTACTTTTATCATTTACAATGCACCCTTTTCAATTTTACCCTCTAATTAACACTACTTTTATCATTTCCAATGCACATTTTCTAATTTTACCCTCTAATTAATACTAATTTTATTATTTCCAATATATGATAAAAATATTTTAGTAAAAGTATCATTCTCTTTCATTCATTTATTCTTTTTTTTTTTAATTTATGTAAAATGATTAAGGGTAATGTTAACTTGTGTCCTTGGGGCACATGTTAAGAACTAAATTAAGAAATATTGTCTTGGAAATTGTGTATAAACTTTAATTAAAATATAAAATTAATTTTTAAATCGTTTTTTCCAATGCAAGTTTACTATAAGTGGTTTTCTTAACATGTGCTCCAAGGATACAAGTTAACATTACCCAATGATTAAATAGGTCACTCATTGTAGAACGGAGAGAGTAACAAGTTTCCTCAAACTAGAATATATATTTGGATTCCCTATTTGCAAATTAATGGGGAGAATGGCCGAAGATGGAGAGCTATGATGAAGAGATTAGCAAATTGGTTCTCCAAATTAATAGGCATGATATTAATGACTTGCAGTTAATCACGTATTTAATGGCAATTCATCTCCATGTGCTTTCTCCCTTTGTGAAAAACAGTTTCAGGCAATGAGAATTGCACTTCTACTGTCACACAATATTGTTAGAATATTGTTATAGATTAATGGTGTTAAATATTTAAGTCTTGTAATAGATACATGCGGGACCGTTTCAAACAATTTAGAGGTCAAGCTATAAATTTTAAAAATTAGTCCTTAATAAAATCATAGAAGTTAAAAAGAGTCGTCTTTTATTTAAGTAAAG